GGGCAAGTGGCCAAGACGTTCAAGTCGCCTTGATCGGCTTGAGACCACCCTGGGTGATACCGGTCGTGGACGAGTACGTGTTCCATGCCGGGCAAAGAGCATTCCAGTTGTCGGTCGGGTGTACGTCATTGGGAACGTCTTCGCTGTCTTCGGCCATGACGACGGCTGGAGACATGTGAACATCATAATAATGCAACGACGGCCAAGAGCTTACCGAATCCAGCAGTCAAATGCCAGTCTGAATGAGCGCTATGGTCAGTTACCGTATCAATGAGTGATTCCTGTCAACGTACCAATGTGGCTGGAAATCGAAGTTAGCGAGAGATGATAGTAGAGGAACAGTAGGACTTACCAGTGCATGAACCATGGGCCGGCGTTGTCGGTCCTGAAGCGGATCGTCGTCCTGTCGGTAGCGGCAGTACCGATGGAGACGACATCACGCTACCAAGACATCAGCTTGCGGACTGTGGACTTGGAAGGGGTCTTACAATAGGCGGGTTCTCATAGTTGTAGGTGGCGTTTCCAGCTGAGCGCACGACGGAGAAAGTATGACCGTGAAGGTGAATGGGGTGCGGGCTGTCGGAACCCCGTCAGCATGAGAGTGATGCAGGACACATCAAAGCTCACCCTGCAGCAACACCTCCGGGAATAGCGATCTCGACGACCGCGTTGGGAGGAAGAAGCTGGACGGAACCGTTGGGAAGGAGAGAAGCCGGGGGCGTGCCGCTGAGAATCTGGAGCAGAACGGGAACATCCGGCGCCTCGAACGACTTGCCGTTGACCGCGAAGAGACCGCCGGTGAAGGTGACATCGAGCTCAAGATTGACGTCCGCGCCTAAGAACGCAGATAAGTAAGCGCGTGACCGTTCGAACCCGCAGGTACGAGAGTACATACCTCCGGGCGTCTTATCGCTGAGATAGTCAACGCTCTCGAGCGGGTGAAGATCCTGCTCGTTGAGGGCCAAGCTCAGCGAGCTAGTCGTGGTAGGGTCAGCGACAGTGGCGTCCTTGTAGCGCAAGATAGCGCTGTTGAGACCGCCATCGAACGTGGCAGCAATGTTGTTAGGTTGCGCACGGACCCACTGCACGGCCGTGAGCACACGCTGAAACTCAGTGAACAGCCAGACCACTCACATAGTTGCCGACATCCTGATCCGCAGTCATGACCAGAGAGTAGCGCTGACCAGCAAAGATCTGGACATTGTCGATCGGTTGGGGCTTGTGGTTCACACCATCGACTTCGATCACCTATGTGCTGTGTTACTCGTATGAAAACCTGGGACGGGAAGGATACATACGCTGAACTTGTGGTTGTCGATGCTGAAGATAAAGTTGGTGTCTGCGCGAGAGATGAGTTCTTAGTCAAGCGGTTCCCAGAATGTGCTCCAGCTCACCGCAGGAGATCGACACCAAACGGAAGCGGTAGCGAGTGCCCTTCGTGACGTTGATCACGGCAAGGTCTGATGCAGGACCACCAGAGTAGCGCCCGAGACCGTTGATCAGCGTCGCGCTTGGCGCCGGAATAGCGGGCGCATTCTTCGAGGTGTAGTGGTACCAGTCCTTCAACAACGGATAAGATATAGGCAAAGGGAGTATAAAAGGGACCTACCGCCAAAGTGATGACAGTTGAGTCGTCGTCAACGTCGTAGAGCGAGGCAGCGGGATCAGCAGGGTCTACATGTTGACCGTCAGTGCGAAGATCGAAGCTGTGGAAGCAAACACTGACCGTAGATGACAAGGGCACCCCTGGAAACGGAGATTAAAAGGTAAGCGCCGCGTACATACAATTGAATAGAAAACTTTCCTGAGACCATCACCTGTTTCGAAGACGATCAGCACAGCTACAGAACACCGAATCAAATGAACTACATACAGTACTGAGCATGGTAGTGGCTACAGTCAGAGATTAGTAAAGAACAAGTACTCGAAATCATGCTCGACTAGCCTATGATACCTGTAGAAGAGTCAGCCTCGAGAACTGATTGAGGAAAGCCACGAAGACGAACCAGAAAGTGCCGGCCTGACCGGGAACGGAGAAGGCGTACTCAAAGCTGTTGTCCGGAACAATCGGGCACTAGGAGCGCTTAGCGACTGATGTAATAGATGCGGACGAAAAGAATGTATTACCTGGGTGACGCCTGAGACACCGTCGGCGTAGTTCGTGCTCTTCTGGAAGAGGCCGTGCCAATGCTGAACGACGAACAATCAGAGGTAGACGTCGCAAACACAAGAAGAAGACTCACGATGGATGTCACCAAGTCCATTGTGGTGTCGGTGAGGCTGTCGGCAACGGTAAGCGAGAACGCGTCGCCCTTGTTACCGGTAATGAGCGGCGCAGGGAAGACGCCGTTCGCGAGGACGGAGCTATGAAGCATCATGAGCACTATGCTCATCGCTGCTTTCGAGCCGCATACCTCCTGCTCAGACCATCGGGAGCGATGTTCGCGTTGGTGATGGTGAGCTGAGCGGTGGGACCGATGGCAGCGAACGCGCCAGTCGCCACAAGTGAGAAAAGAGTCAGAAGCGACCAGGAGGAGCTCATCGTTGGGAAGGATGAGGAGTTGAGGGAGTAGAAAGGGAAGGTTGGTAGCCTGAGGGATCTCTACTGGCAGAGCAGTTTATATAGCTGTGTTACCATTGAGGAGGTCAAGCCTATGGGCGCCGCTCAGAGTCACAACAGCCTCGTAAATGCCGCATCGCCTACCTTTTCGGTGTCGGAGGCCGTGGGACTATGCGACCGTCGGACGCTCGCAGGATGTGTGTACTGGACCAAGGCCGAGTGAACACGCCAGCTCAGGACCAAGAACGCCTCGGTGGGATCCATCATTAGGCACGGTAAGGGAAGTTTCAGGACATAAAGTCGCATAGTCGCGATATGTGCAGAGAAGCAGTGGACGCATGAGACGCGCAGCTGTCGTCCACAGCTATTCTGCCAAGTCGGTCAAGCTTCGGCCAGAGATGCGAGCAACGTGTTATGGCTGCTCACCGAATGCGTACTCTCACTTCTCCGCGCTTCATATCGCTTCAACCTTCCTCGGGTTGAGTGGGACCGTCCCCTTATCGGAGTCCTTCGCGCTCCGGAGCACCGTAAGAACAATTCGGGTCATCAGTTCCAGGAGTAATGATGTCGAAGGAGAGGACAGGTGTATGTAACACAAGGTCATGTTCTGGGAGGCCGTCAGTGGTGTTAGAGAGGCAGATCGAGTGGAAGCGCCCAACTCAGGTAGTCATCGCGGAACCCTCCGCGAGCGCCTACGGCGAGCCTAAATTGATTCAGGGCGTGTCGGGGAAGCTGCTACCTCGGACTCCTGGGACCTTGTGAGTGCGCGATGAACTCATCATTCACACAAGGTGAACTCACTGATACACGGGCAGTCCTATAGAACGGGTATTGTGAGTGAAGCGCTCCAGCAAGCTCGGAGATACACCTCGACCTCACCCAAGAGAACACATACTGGTTGGAAGGGCTGACGTCTCAAGCCTTCTCCAACGGTTTCCCGTACGCTACGCTCTTGTTCAGATACCGCGATGATCCTGCCGTGCCCGTCCGGGTGGTAACATATCGTCTCGTGAACAGGGACCGTCATGGGAAGAAGATCCCGTGACTGTGAGATGGATATCAATCCACCCAAGCTGGATGCAGCGCCACCGCCAACCCGAACCGTGCCGGAAAGGTTTCGGACGAGCTCGTAAATGCCTTTTACGGTTTTAACGCGGTTGTACGAGAAGATCGCAGTACCCATGGATCCGAGCATCGTGGGCGAAGCCTGTGAGGTAGCGCAAGCGAGGCAATAACGCGATCTCCTCATAGGAGAGACTTGGGCCTCTGGTACATGCAGTGGCTGGAAGACGCAGACACGGCTCGTGAAGCTATACGATACTTTCGCGCGTGCTTCGTGCGGCCACATCATAGCTGGGAGAGGAACAATATGTTAGTTAGAAGTGCAGGAACCGTCGAAGTTGGGCCGGACATGGAGACGTACCGAGGTTGAGCTTGACTTATGCTCGACAAGTGAGAAGTCGACAGTGTTGGAACCTGGCTACTCTTCGCCGGCCATTTCAGCCACAATCAGCAGAGCCCTGGCCTCTGCGACGGTCCAAGGCATATCCTTCGGCTCCGCATGTGATCAATCCGGAGGGCGTGCATGGCCTTGTGTGGCAAATGAGGAAGAGCTGACCGCGGACGGCGTTCAGTTGCCGTAACTCCGTAGCATAGCCATGAACTTACCTGAATTTCCAATGAAGCCAGCCGTGGTCACTGAGGATTGGATTGTCGTGTAGTTCAGGGTCAACTTCTCTGCGCGCAGCTGGATCAGAGACGGTACCGCGCGCATCCAGCTAGCAAGGAACGTCAAAGAAGCAGTGCTCAGGTACTGGTATGTAATGAATGGAACTCGAAGACCACTTCAACCCCTTGAGGACCAGACATCTTTCGGTTCAGGTCGCGTACTTCATGAGATGAGAAGAGCGCGGTGCCGCGGTGCTCGGAACGATGGGAAATAGGGCTCACGCCACCAGACCCTACCAGGGCCGTAAACAGTTGGAGGTACGGCGCATCACAATGGATCTGCCCACGAGAGAGTATAGACTCAGCGGGAGTGACTTGCGATTGCGATAGAATGGGTGAGAGGATCCGCTGCACTCCCAGGATGGGCGGCATATCCGGTAGCGAGCATTGTAAGCAGACTCGTGTGCCACCGGCATGGAGGAGACGAGGATATGCTACACGTAAATTTCGAGCGTGCCATTGTGACTCGTCGTGGTCAAGGTCCATGGGCGACTCCGGACGCCCAAGATCGCCGGCGGCCACCGTGCACGCGACGTCTCCGCGCTTGTTTGGTGATGCGTGGGAGTATGCCGCAGTATGGACGAGTATGTGGGTCCTTAGAGGTGCGGTGATCTCCAATGTCAAATTTGTGTCAGATAGTCTTCACTTGATTCCCAACCCACGATGAGTGTGAGGCTACTGTATATGTGCAGCAATGCCACTAGCTGCCACAGGCAGTTTTGACGTCTTGACGCCAGTATTTTCTGGGAGAAGCGTGGTCGCCGCGGCGGCAGTCACCTGGACAACACAGACGTCATGGCCACCGGCGCGTCCGCAATTGCCCGCGATGTCAATCCCTTGCTCCCCGCGCCGACCCCAATCATGGAGCGACGGCATACTTATCAACTCGCCTTTCACTCCTTCTACCACTGTCTCACAGCACGGCTTCACGTTCACGACGCTCGCGACGGCCTCGAGCCATGAATACTCACGCCAAGCGCAAGCTCTCGTCTCTCACCAGCGCCGAAGCGTCTGCGTTACTCAGTGCCTTGAATGATTGTTACCAGCGCTTCGAACATCTGGATCTGGAAGCTTTGGACGGGCTTCATGATACAATCGCAAGTTTACAGCTGCGGCTGCGCCACATTTCCTTGACCAAGGTCACGGAGAACTCTTTGGAAGTGTGCGGCATACAAGCGGCCTCGCCGCCCGTTCTGCGATCGACCCTTGGGCAGTCTGAGACGACATCGCCTCTCATTAGAGATTCTAGGATAGCTGGCGGCGATAAACCTGTGTCGTCTGACGGACTGGACAATCTTCTGGCACGGATCGACAAAACCTTCTTCACTAAGGTATGTTCTTCGATTATTGTCTCCGCTGACGTCGCTGAACGGACGACAGTCGGCCAACGGGGCAAAGCTAGTTACGGATATCGTCTTACTACGCGTCGCTACCATGCTGGAGAGCAGCAATCAGCCCGTCGAAAGCATCGAGCCTACTCGCCCGTCCTCCAGTCCGCTCAAACCCTTGGCACTCGCGGGTGAAGGTTATGCCCCGCATACCCCGCGGTCGAGCATTTCTTCTATGCCGCGTTCGCGGTCATCTTCACCTGTATCGCGCCACTCGTCGCCGTCGAGGCACGTTCGAGGAGCGTCGCATCGTTCCTCCGCTGACCCGGCGCTCTTTGTCACCATTCCTCCATCTCGCTCGCCATCTCAGGATGCCGCCCCGCAATTGATTGTACTCCCCGACTTCGTTATCCCTCTCACGAACCTACCTGCGACAATTGACGACCAGGACTCAGACATCACAGTCAGCGGCGTCTGCGACTACCTGATTGCCTTAGTTCCGCCAGACATCGGACGTGCGTGTCATGAGCTCTCTCGCTGACTGAGACTAATAGTTCTACAGCTGGACTTCGTGATCGCCCTCAGTTGCTTCGAAACGAGGTACCTGGCGTGACCTGCTTCGCAGTCTTCCAAACCAAGTCCAGCTCAGGAACGGAGCTCGATGTTCTCCTGCCAAAGGCCGTGCTTGCAGTGGCGGCATTCGTGAAGAGGCAAAAGTGGGTCCGATGCTCGCGTTCATAGTCTTCTATGGTTCTCACCCTCATTCCAGGAAGCCCTCCATGCGCGGTGCCGTAACTTCTGGGAAGGAGTGGATGTTCTTCGTCTACAATACAGCGCACGACGGTCGTGGTGGGTCATATCGTACCTCCCCGATACTCTCCTTGGACTCCGTAGAGGAACGAGATGTCGTCGTAGGATTACTCAAGTCATGGGTGAGTAGCTTCTTGCTTCGACAAGGCGTGCCTTGCTGATAAGTGTGCGAATAGATTGAGAGGGGATACGAGGATGTGGATGAGACTGAGTTGTTCTGGTGACTACGCTCGGACCCCCGCCGTATGCTCTCTCGTACCGCTACTGCCTTGCTAGCATACTTGCGCACAGACGCTCTCAGTGTCCTTGTTCCCTCTTTCGCCATACTACTTTTGCTCGGTTTCCCATCATTGTACGCTGGTCTCATCGCTTTCTTCACTCTTGTTGTGCTACAGCCTCGTTTTGCTCTTTGACGGACCTTTGTTTCGCGACCACAGACAATTTCAATGTGGACACTACTTAGATCTCTACGGTGTTCTCAGTCTGTGCTTATACCACGATCTCGTACGATGTGTATCGGTGCATATAGTACCCTACTATCTTGGAGCGCTGGCGAGCGCCGCCCATGCAGATATATATCATGACGCTACTGTCACGGCCGAGTATACTCAGGGCGAGGTAGCATGCTCACGCCTGTGCTCACGTTTGGCGTATGGCCCGGGAAGGACGGGATGAGCAGGGAGTGGTGGCGTGAACTTGAGCTCTGCCGACGTCGACGCGCCATCGACTGTGACGCGCCTGCTTGCTCTGAACTTCCATCATCATCGCATGCCGATCGATCTGTGAATGCAACGGCTTGCCAACCTGTACACAACCCTCGCGGTAGCGCCGACTACTATCGTATATGGCGAGTACGGCCGTGGCCCACCGCACACCTTCGGAAATCTGTCCCGCCCGGCTCCCAGAATGTATCTGAGTGGCGGGCCCGGAAAATGGCATCAATGTTTCGTGTTCATCGCATGCAGGGAGCGTACCTGTACATCTCGTCCTTCCACGCCTATACAATACAAACTGCGTGGGGATATGGGCGCGCCGAAAGCAGATCCCCGCCATGCTTCTTCGTCGCCGGTGGCGGGCCGCGGGATTGAAGCTGGCCATCCTGGCCGCCTGCGACACTACATTCTGAGTGGTTCCAACAGCAGTGTCAAGTATATCCGAGCTTTCTCCTTCGGCCGTGAACCTTCTATGTTGAGTTATGAGCCTGCTGCTCGCCTTTCACACGCAGAGGGCGCTCATGGGCCATCGCGCAAGCCAACTCCGAAGGTGGTCCACATATCTCTGCCGCGACGTCTCGGTGGTGATCCTTATCGGAGACTAACGATTCTGGGCTTCTAGCTGTCTCAAAGCGCTCTCAATTGTCGAGACGACTACGATTCGTCTCTGAAGACAGGCATACGGGTATGGATCCCTCCTCATGCCCCAGCCGACGTGCAGGCCTCTCCCATGATTGTCCGACATCCCTCTTGAACAAGATTTGTGGATGCTGTTGGGGGTGGAATGTCAGTACTGCTTTCATCCAGTCCATGTCACCGGCAAGGAACGCGATTCGAGCGTATATACGCGAGCAGGACGCGACTACAGAGCCACTCGACACATCGATGATGTCTACTGTCGATCGTCTCGCCCTTGAAGGTGTGGCAATGGCAGTCACCTACACCCACAGCCTCCTTGACAATCGACCTCGCAAGCGGTTTGAGGTCTTCGTGGGCAGTCGTCTCTGTCGCGTCTTCCCGCCATACAATCACTACCGCGTTCCCCGTCAAGTGCACGGCTGAGGGATTTTCATCCTGCCGATCAACATCACTGCCTTCCCAATGTGGTTGGCAACGACTCAGATAAGTAATCTACTGGTCTCTCACTTTTTTTCAGAAATGCGCATGTATCTTCTAGCGCATATGTCGCACGCGTTCGCCGCATCGCTTAATGACCCAATCGTGGGCGGCAGAGCACCGCCTTTTGACAAAGTTTGTGGCACAGTGCAGGCTCTCCCCTCCCGCTCTCGCCATTGATGATGAGCGGTGATGCCACGGTGCCCTCCACGCCGCCGCCACCTGAGCGGGGTTGGTAGACCTGAACGGGACCTTACTCGAGGTTCAGTATGCCGACGTTAAAAGGGCCGCACACTACTACTGTAAGCGCAGGACGCCAGTCTACAGAGGCACGGTCCGGCAAGCACGCTCACAGGCTCGGTCCCAGCC